ATACAATCAGTACAGCGGGAGTGGACCCTTTCCCGGCGCTGATCGCCGTCCTCCCGGCCCGGGCAATCAGTTTCCCTTTCCGTTTGGCCGCGAACGCATGCAGGTAACGGCGGCTCCCAACGCTCAGCCCAACATGCCCCCCCAGATGATGCAGCCGGGCCCCGACGGTCCTCAGGGAGGTATGTGGCAGGGGCCGCGAGACATGAACTATCAGAACTACCCCAGCCGGCAGGGCGGCCCTGGGGGCCCAACCCAAGGGCCCGGTTACCCTGGCATGAACCGCTCAGAGGAGATGTCATCAGAACAGCGCATGAATCACGACGGCCAGTGGGGGGGTCCGATGGGCCCACGGCAGCCCCCATACGGTCCAGCCGGGCCCGGGCAACCGATGCCTCGTTCGGTGCAGTCCAACTACCAGTCCCTTCAGGGTGTGCAGAACCACATTCCACAGGTGTCCAGCCCAGCCTCCATGCCCCGCCCACTGGACAGCAGGACCTCGCCTAATAAATCGCTCTACATGCACGGAGTAATGAAGATGCAGAAGGCTGGCCCTCCGGTGCCTGCATCTCACATAGTGCCCCCTGCGGTGCAGTCGCCTCTAATACGGCGCGACATGCCTTTTCCGCCAGGCTCCACAGAAGCGTCTCACCCGGTCCTGAAACCACGCCGGAGACTCACCGTGAAAGATATCGGTAGGACTACATTATAGTTATTTTGGCTTATGTGCTGCCCAATGCTGCTTTGTTGGCTACGTTGTTCTACGTTGTTTTTTTAGAGTGTATAATTGAGCGTTTTTTGTCATGACTTCTTAGGAACCCCAGAGGCTTGGAGAGTCATGATGTCATTGAAGTCTGGTTTATTGGCCGAGAGTACATGGGCTTTAGATACCATCAACATCCTTTTGTATGATGACAACAGTATCTCCACCTTTGATCTCAACACGGTGAGACTTAACGTTGAGCTCGTAATCATTGTTTATAATGGTACATCATGCGTAGTCACGCGTCTAATATGTATATTTTTTTCTATCTGTGTTCCTTCTTCAGTTGCCCGGCCTGCTAGAGTTAGTGGTTGAGTATTTCAGACGCTGCCTCATTGAAATCTTTGGCATTCTGCGGGAGTATGAGGTGGGGGACCCCGGCCAGAGGACGCTACTCGATCCTGATGCTCTGAAACGAGACTGGAGCGGCGCTGAGGACGAGGAACTGCGGGCTAAGGACATGGAACAAGAGGAGGGAGATGACGAAGACGAGGATGAACCAGAACCGGAGGGGCCAGCTTGCGTGAAGGAGGAGGAGAAGCCAGAGCAGTGCTCCGAGCCACAGGGTCAAGATGAGAAGAAAGAGGAGGAGGACAGGATGAGCAAGGGCTCTTCCTCCGAACAGACGGGCCCATTGCAATCCGTAGCTGCCCAGGAGAGACCCAAACAGGCCAGCAAGTTTGACAAGTTCCCCCTCAAAGTGGTACGAAAGAAAGACCCATTCAAGACCGGCCAATCCAATAATCACGGACAACTGCAAGAGTTTGACAGCGGGTTAATTCACTGGAGTGCTGGAGGGGGGGACTCCACCGACCACATCCAGACTCACTTTGAACCCCGCAAAGACTTCCTTGAACCACGACAACGGATATCTGTGCCCGCGAGTCTGCTGAAGCGACGGGTCCCAGAGGAAGTGTTCCTGGAAAACTGTTTACCAACTGAGGGAGAGAAAAAGGCCAATCAAGATGAGGAGGAGACAACTTCCTCAGAGAAGGCCAGCGCCTCCCTTAGCAGCGGGGAGGAGAGGAAAACCGATTCCGAGATGGTAAACGGAAGTCACCAGGACATCAACAGACCCATTCCTTTCCCCGACATTATTTTAACCCATCGGGCAAAGCAGACCGGCGTCATCCTGGAAGATGAGCCTCACAGCAAGGACGAAGGGCCGCTCATTGCGCTGGCCAACTGGCAGGATTCCTTAGCCCGCCGCTGCGTTTGTGTCTCCAACATTGTCCGCAGCCTCTCCTTTGTCCCGGGCAATGACCACGAGATGTCCAAACACCCAGGGCTGCTACTGCTGCTGGGACGACTGATCCTGCTCCACCACAGGCACCCTGAGCGCAAGCAGGCTCCGCTCACCTACGAGAAAGACGAGGACTCGGAGGAGGGAACGGGCCAGAGGGACGATTGGTGGTGGGACTGCTTGGCGCTCCTGCGGGAGAACACGCTGGTCACCTTGGCAAACATCTCAGGCCAACTGGACCTCTCCATCTACCCAGAGAGCATCTGCTTGCCTCTGTTGGACGGTCTCCTCCACTGGGCCGTCTGCCCATCAGCAGAGGCCCAGGACCCCTTCCCCACCTTGGGCCCCCACAGTTCTTTGTCCCCTCAGAGACTGGTCCTGGAGACGCTGAGCAAGCTGAGCATCCAAGACAACAATGTGGACCTCATCTTGGCCACGCCGCCATTCAGTCGTCTGGAGAAGCTATACGGGAACCTGGTGCGGCTGATCGGAGACAGGAAGGTCGCCGTGTGCAGGGAGATGGCGGTGGTCCTGCTGGCCAACCTGGCCCAGGGCGATGCGGTGGCGGCCCGAGCGGTCGCTGTTCAGAAAGGAAGCGTGGGCAACTTGCTGGGCTTCTTGGAGGACAGTCTGGCGGCCACGCAGCTTCAGCAGAGCCAGAGCTCCCTACTACACCTACAGGGGATGCACTTCGAGCCCACGAGCCCGGACATGATGCGGCGAGCCGCCCGGGCTCTGCATGCCTTAGCCAAGGTGGAGGAGAACCACTCGGAGTTTACACTACAGGAGTCTCGACTCCTTGACCTTTCAGTGTCTCCCCTAATGAACTCGCTGGTCTCTCATGTTATCTGTGATGTACTTTTTCTGATTGGCCAGTCATGACAGATGTAGGGAGCCGCGGCTCCACATTTTGGGGTTTTCGTCCCCATTTCCCTCTTCCCTGGAGACCTGGCTTGTGTATAACAGGGCAAGGAAAGTTCAAGTGACTGTCTTTTTAATTTATGAACATCCATCAGACTCCATTCTCTGAGCCCTCCCCAGGCCGTCCTTGCTGGAGGAGGGTGATCACAGAGCTGCGGTGGATTACAAACCAGAGAGACGCTCGCGCAGTGACACTACTTGTAACATGAATGCCAACTGGATGACAGTGGAGTGCCACGTTTGGGGAAGACTGTTCTGCACTTGGGGTGGGGGGGGGAATTACTTTTTATTAAAGATAAATAAATGAATAAATAGCTGAAAAACAAAAACTGTAACCAAAGTTGCTGTCTCGTTTACAGTGAGTTTGGGAGACACTGTGCCCTAGCTCTCCTCTCGAGGGCACAATGAGTCTGTAACTGGTTCCAGTTCAGAGGTGAAGCAGACTGACAAGTGGCCTACTGGTTATAGTTGCTGTAGATGGATTTTCACCAGTCAGCCCGACAGTAGACGTAAGTGCTGTCGATAAGACACCTTCACCGGGGAGGCCTGTGCAGTGTGCAGTAGATTGTAGGACATTTTCTGTACCATACTGCTCTTGAGTGTAAGCGTTCTGTAACACGCGTTTCACACAGAGGCAGAAGATGCAGCTCTTCTAGAGTTTTGAGGTCATTTTAGTTTGGTGTTAAACAGAAAATGGCTTTCTTCCCCAAAGTATCAAGAACCTACAACACCCTTACCTCCTCTTATCCCTTGATTGTATGAATACCCTTATGAAAAGAAATCACCTCTTAGGACTGGTTTTCAACTTCAGATACAGCTTTGCTGTGGTGTATATATATATAATGTTGTACATTACACTTCCTTTCTCTGTGTCTGTCTCTGTCTGTGTCACTATTCTCACACCGGTTATTGGTGAGGGATTGAGGCTGACTGGAGTTTGGTCCGTGAGCCCCCCGCTGATTAGACCCACACCTCTGGTCTCTCCACAGCTCCGTAGTACGACAGACGCGGCGCAAACCTGTTATCTCCTGGTACAATGAAATAAACTAGATGAAGTTACACATTTGACCTTTTTTTTTTTTTTTCCTCAATCATGAATTCTGCATATTTGTATTTCAGACTATGTAGCTATGACAACATGTAAATTTCTCCCTTTTCCGTTTTTTTGGCTCAATGAATATCATTTATTCAGTTTGAAATCTTTATACTATATGTTCCACGTGGTAAGAATAAATGTACATTAAATCTTCCTAAGCTGTTTGATGGTTTTGTTCTTGGTGACCTCTTCTGGACGAATAAGTCCAACTAATGGTTCAAAAGAATTCATTATTCTTCACGTCAGTGCCCAGGAAACATGGTCCCACCCGGTGGATGTTAACAGTTCATATTAACTGTGTTACTGTTTTTTTACGTTTCAGTAAAATAACTGCATGCATGTAAAATAATGCCAACAGGCTACTTGATATAAACGCATCACGGATGAATGCGTGTATGATTTTTTCTTGGATTCATTTCATAGCATTTCACAGCATTACGGTCCATTAAAGCCAAGCAATTCAGTTAATGTCGTCATTGGGGGAAAACTCCCCCATCTCCGTTTGAATTAACATCAGAATCTCAATGAAACACGTACAAGTCAATCTTTTGAATCCGCCTTAAGACGGCACTTAAAAAAAACACGTGAGGGATCCCCCCACACAAAAAAAAATCTCATCAACCTTCAAACGACGGCTAAATGCAACGTCCTCGCACGTTTTGAAGGGAGAATAAAATAACTGCACCACTTGAAAAAAAGCCCTCGCATCAGGGCGCAGAATGGTGCGCAGCGCCGCCTGCTGGGCAGAAAAGCCTTCACGCGTCACCTGACCAAAAGACCCTAAAACACGACGTCAAATCGAAGCTGATGTAACTTTATAAAACACGGGTCGTATATACGTACTATGGTGGACAGTTTCGGGCTACACTCGTGCCGTTAGAGACATCAGTTGCCTTTGTAACAGAATACCACATACGGGTTCTTCCCGGGGCTTAATCGCGTTTATTTTGAAAGGACCTCGGCTACACCGGAAGTGAAAAGAGTCATTCGAAACGAAGCAGAAGCTTTGCTGCAGAATGAGGATGTGAGGACAAAGATTGCACCTGAGCGAAAACAAACACTGACTGACGACGACTATCCGTCCAAAATTATATCTTTCTCATTTTCAACCCTCTCCTACTGTCAAGCCAATGAAAACGCCAACACCTCGGGAGCGCCTTCACCGAATTTCTATCTTTCTATGTTTTCTAGAAACTATGACGAATCCGGCAGTGAGCGTCTCGTAGCAGCGACAATGCTGCGGCCTGTCGCATCCGACTCTCCCCGATTCCCCGCGCCGCGCCAGTGACCATGGACGTCAGGGCCGTTGTGGAGTTCGCCGCCGTCACCAGGGGCCTGTCACTGTTGTTGCAGGTAAGTTGGATATGAAATTAGACAAATCTAGTTTTTATTTTATTTTATTAACCCTAATGTCTCCCGGAGTTTGAGTCACCTTGACCATTTAATGTTGTGAGCCTCGGCCAATAGTTCCCAAGGGAAACGGCAAAACTGCACTATAGGCAGGATTCGTTCTGATGTATTTTTGGAACATCTCCCCTCAGGCTGTCTTCAATGCCGTCATCCCCGACCACGACGCCGACGCCTTCAGGCCCCCGAGGACAGAGGAGCCTCTGTGCTGGGACCCCGCCGTGGAGTGGCTGCTGGGCGGCCTCTCTCACTGGGACGCCGAGCATTTCCTCTTCATCGCCGAGAGAGGGTACCTCTACGAGCACAACTTTGCCTTCTTCCCCCTCTTGCCCGTCGTCCTCCGGGGCCTGGCGGAGACGCTGCTGTGGCCCCTGAGCAGCTGGCTGAGCGTGCGGGGCCGCTTGCTGCTGGCCGTGGCCCTGGGGAACAGCGCCCTCTTCCTGCTGAGCGCCGTCGCCCTGTACGCGCTCAGCAGGGCCGTTCTTCAGGACAGGCGCCTCGCTCTGCTCTCCAGCCTGCTCTACTGCGTCACGCCCGCCAACGTCTTCATGACCGCCGGCTACTCGGAGAGCCTGTTTGCCGCGCTGACGTTCGGCGGCCTGTTCCTCCTGGAGAAAGGTTTCACCTTCCGCGCCTGCCTGGCCCTCAGCATAGCCACCGCCGCGCGGTCCAACGGACTCGTCAACATAGGGTTTCTGCTGTATCTGCCGTCACTGCGCGCCATTTGCCAGATTCGCGTCTACCGAACGACGACTAGAGGCTACAGTAAAGTCTTCCACTATGTCTGGGCCGTTGTCGGCGTCCTGCTCACCGCCCTCCTGGGAACGGCGATCATTGCCCTTCCCTTCTGCGCGTTCCAGTACTACGGGTACAGGACGTTTTGCACACCGTCCGTCTCCCTGGAGCGGATCCCTCCCGCTCTCCTGTCCCTGGCCGAAGTGAAGGGCTACCGGGTTCCGGATGAGAACGGTCCACCGCCCCTCTGGTGCATGAGACCTCTCCCCCTGCTGTACTCTCACATCCAGGATGTTTACTGGGATGTGGGCTTCCTGCGCTACTTTGAGCTGAAGCAGATGCCAAACTTCGTTCTGGCTCTACCCATGGCCGCTCTCGGCATAATGGCAGCGTACGCATATTTTCAAGCCAATCCAGAAATGTGTCTGAGACTCGGACTTTGGGAGACGGGCGCAAGTAAAGGACTTGACAAACCCACACCGGGATTTTTCAACTCCAGAGTGTTCGTTTATGTCGTTCATTCGACTGTGCTTCTGGTGTTTGGGACATTGTGCATGCATGTGCAGGTAAGTGAATAATGTGAGCACCTCCTTGTGGAACTTCACATGTCCGTGTGTGAGGAACGACTGCTGATTTCTTCTCATTCCCATTTTAAATCTACACTTCTAGGTTCTAACCAGGTTCATGGCCTCCTCGTCCCCCGTGCCTTTCTGGATAAGTGCTCACCTGCTCCTCCTCAATGAGCCGCTTCTTCATCGAAGGAAAACGTCGAATCCCAACGTGCAGCTACAGACGCATTCCAGAAACGGATGCAGGCACACGCCTCTGAACCCCATTATCGCACTGCTGCCACACTTTAAAACCTGTTCTCCCACCACGCAGAGCATCCTGGGATACTTCCTCTGCTACTGGGTGCTGGGCCTGGCACTGCATTGTAACTCCTTGCCGTGGACATGACTTAAGAGATCACTCTGTCCTTTTAAATGTAATGTGTCCATGTACGACTGCAACACGCATCATATGTTGAATGACACACGGATATCTTTTAAAGTACATCATCAATGTTCCATTTGTGTTTCATTCCGGCAATCGTTAAAACTATTCGTTGCAGTAGCATTACAATATATAATGATCCCGCTCAGTCTTACAAAGAAATTACACAATTACATTATTACATTTTTGATGTTGATTCACTCATGCAATAATCAACCAATTTAACTTAAACATCTAATTTTAATGTCTTTGAAAACAAACTAGCAAAATGTACAATATTTCTGAAGCTTAGTTGAACAGTCTGGTTGTAAATTATTGGAAGACTGGTTGTACTTGACAAACTTTTCAATTTATTGCTTGAGACTTGCTGAAGCGTAACATTTTCATTTAATTTATAATTTGATATAACTGCATGTTTGGAAGAAATATTCCAAGATCTAGTTTGAGAATGTTTGAATATGGATGAGAAAAAAATAAAAGGTTTTGTTGCTGTCAACAAATCTTCCATTTAAGTTTTATTTTCATATAAAGGTAAACTCTTTTCTCGAGGCATTATGTAAAACTACTAGTGTTTTTTTGTTTTTTTTAAGAACCAAAGTTACACCAGCAAGTTTGTACTTAAATCATAGATTAAAATAATTGTAATAAATCCAAACCAATTATGTGAATTTATGTTGACGGTGTTCTGTGTTCAAGTTTTATGTTACTGTAAAATCACGTCAAGTTACCTCCAATTCTTACAGATCTCTCTTTAATGCCACTGGAGACGGCTGTTACTCCTAAAACTGTTCAGTCACTGACAAACTCCATGAAAAACACTCCATACGGAGAGCGTCAGATTACTGGTTGCTCTGTGCACCAAATCGCAGGAAAATCTGCTATTGGAAAACTGGGGAATAAAATGTGTTAAACAGGAAGATAATCCAGGCACCGTTGCATCTTAAAACAAGTAACAGAGGAGGACTGTGTAAAAGCCTTTATTGCTGCGATAAGTGATCTAAAAAAGCCAACCTGTTTCCACACCTGCCAGGTCTTCATCAGGGAACTAACAGGAAAATGTCTGTACCTATACGGCAGGAAATAGCGTGAGCCGGATAATAACAAGTCATATGAAACCATTTCACAATGAAAAGAAGAACCAATATGAGATAATAGCCACGTTCCTAATCAAGTACTGCAACCACTATTAAAAACAATACTGTCCTGTTGCATGCAGCATAATATTGCACCTTTTACCTCCTTGCAATGGTTAAAGAATAAAAGGTGCATTATTTATTATTAATGGTGGAACGAGCTCTCTGAAGACATCAGGACCGCAGAGAGCCTTCACATCTTCCGCCGCAAACTAAAGACACACCTCTTCAGACTCGACTAAAGACTAATAAATTGTAGCACTTAAATTGTACTTGTAACGTCACTCATCTATAGCAAATTGTAAATTGGCTTATTTGAGGAAATTGCACTTTCTTGTTTCTTGTTCTCCTGAGTTTGTACCCTATGGTTGAATGCACTTATTGTACGTCGCTTTGGATAAAAGCCTCCGCTAAATGACATGTAATGTAATTTAGGACTCATGAGCATCTAATTTTGAGGTTCCTGATTGGATCCATTTCAGGATCCCTTTGCTCACCCTTCTCTCTCCAAGCTTGTTAGAGAGCTACATTGGAAAAGGCAGTTATGAATATTATATTCCATCCCAGCCAATAAATCCCCTTGAGTCCTACACACTGTTCCCTTCAGAGCCTGAGAAGTGGCCATTATTTCACATCCCTCGAGCAGAGTCCAACACATCATTTTGCTTAAACACACACAAATGCCACGGATGAACCCATCTGCCCCTTTCACACTCACGATTTCCAAAAGTGGCATCGACTCAGAAGGTTTTTCCCGGCAGGACAAAGCTGGAACCACACTGGATAATGTCTCAGTTGACATGCACACAGAACACTGGCCCCAAACACTTTAACCAGTGTGACCATCACCTGGTGCACGGCACCACAGACTCTCACCATGGTAACAAGGGCTTTGTGGTTCACTGTCAGCATGTTGGTAGGTAGAAAGCCATCGTTATGAAACGCTCCGGAGAAGCATGCAGAGACACGTGGGGTTCAGACGGTTTACTTATAGCGCTGAGAACCCACAATGAGTATTAAGAAAGAACAGATGATATACCGGTTGTTTGGGTTGGTCTCTGCCCGCATGCCAATTTGCTAAATGCAATGTGCTCGCCTGTCTCGCTATTTGTGGTCCAGAGACCTTTTTGAGTGTTGTTTGGAGCAGCTGACCTTCCACTTTCCTAACCAACTTAAATATCGAATATACTTAACTGGTAAATGGCATGTCGACTTCCTATCTATCAGATGTAAAGACTGAAAACAGGCTCAGCAACAGTTTTAGATGCACTAGGCCGATGACAAATCTCCTCTGTCAACACTGTGCATCTGAGTTTGCAGCACCCGGGTCAGATCTGCTCCTCTGAGCCGATGAGAATGATTAATGATCCAAACTAATTACCACAGGTTCACTTTGAGTCTAATCAACCTATAAAATACCAACGATCTAAACCCTCCCAGGTCTGTGTCATCCTCCAGCCCCCAAAACACAAGGAAATGCTGAGGATATTCTGTTCGACAACCATTAGAATTATATGGCCCTAAAAAACGGCAAAACCAAAGTAACGTAGGTTAAAGAATTATGTTTACACTTCAGTTATATCTTCGATTCGGACTTTTATCAAGTAAAACACAGCACCGGGAGCCGCTTATTTCGATGCGCACCGATACTTTGAGGCGCTGTTGTTTCGACGCTGATCTACAAATCATCGACGGTCTCACGTGACGAGCGGCGAGTGCTGCGTGCCTACGTCATCGTCCTCCCCGTCACGGCGACGGCACGCGAAAAAAAAGGGAAACATAAACTGCTACAAGAAGCTTGAGCCGAAGCCCGTCTCTTGAATTAAGCCACTGGTAACGTCGATATAATACAACCAAATAAGTATTCGTGTTCATGAATGGCTTTAATTTAGCTATCGAAGATGGTGGTTGAACTTCAGATAAGTTTGGAACGGATTCAGCTCGTAAAACTCTGCTTAGGAGAAGACGGTTCCTGCCGGTTCGTTAGCTAGCTAGCTAGCGTTAGCTTTCAGAATGGGCAAATGAACACAGACAGAAAATATCGACGTACAAATGACTGAAACCCGAGAGTACAGCCCCTCGATAACGTGGCGGCAAACGAGAGTTTTGTGAGTGCCTTTTAGCTACACCCGTACCTCGTCGTTCCCGTTAACCGTTAACGCTACACGATGAAGAACTGCGAGTACCAGCAGATAGACCCGAGGGCGCTGTCGGTGTCGCCCTCGTCCGTCCAGAACCACACCGAGAAGAAAGTACAGCGATTGCGGAGGAAATGGGAAGTGTTCCCAGGGAAGAACCGCTTCTTCTGCGACGGGCGGATCATCCTGGCCAGGCAGAGCGGAATCCTTCCCGTGACACTGGGCCTTATTGTTGTCACTTGTGGCCTTTTCTTTGCGTTCGAGTGAGTAACTAGCAACGCTCCTCTTTGTAGGTTTCTTCCCAGTGGGCCCTGAAGGCCGCATGGAAGGTTCATGGTTGAAAGTGTGTGTGAACCATGTAAAACCAGACTAACTGAAACGGACTCTGTTCTCTTACAGTTGCCCTTTCCTAGTAACACATCTGACCGTCTTTATACCTGTGATTGGTGGGGTTCTTTCCTTGTTTGTGGTCACCTCCCTGCTGAGAACCAGCTTTACAGACCCAGGCATCTTACCCAGGGCCACCCCGGACGAAGCAGCAGACATAGAGAAGCAGATCGGTAAGGCACTGCCCTCAGTCCCACACCAGGCGGGGAACAGATGGGGTGAAAGAGCTTCGCCATGGGGGGAGTGGGGGACTGAGGGACATGTTGTTGTTGTTTTTTTAACTTGACCTAATCAGCTTACTCAAAAAGCCAGAGCTAGATTTATTTGTGTTGTTGATTATTCCTTTTATTGTATCTATAGTGCTTATTAGGTTTACCATGAAATGTGCCATGTTGCAGTGAGTCTCTCCCCTTGTGCTTCTCTATTTCAAGATAACTCAGGATCCTCCACGTATCGCCCCCCTCCTCGAACCAAGGAGATTCTCATCAACCAGCAGGTGGTGAAGCTCAAATACTGCTTCACTTGTAAAATGTTCCGCCCCCCTCGGACGTCCCACTGCAGCCTCTGCGACAACTGTGTGGGTAAGGATTCGGTGTAGAAGTTACCAGCGTTTGCCAACTGCACTAATTGCACTCGATGACTTGATGTCATTGTCGAGCGGAAGGTACCATACTGCTTGGCTGGTAGATTTCCAGTTTTCTTTGCACAACAGTTTTCTTCAATGTTAATCCACGGGTCTGTCTGGACGTGACCGCATCATAAAGAGAGAGCTACAAAAGCTAATTCTTGCCTTAAATTGACATTAAGTGTACGAATCTGTTTTTTTTTTTTTTTTTTTGGTTGTATTAAGTGAAAAGTTCACACCGATTCCAGAGTAAGAGTGATTGGGTTTAATAATATGTAACATACATATTATTACTAATCATACAACTAACTAAAATAACATTCTTTACAACTGAGGTAGAAAAGCCTCTGATCTCTGTATACGTTTTTTTTTTTGTTTTACCCTCAGAACGATTTGATCACCACTGCCCGTGGGTGGGAAACTGTGTGGGCAAACGCAATTACCGTTTTTTCTATAGCTTCATCATCTCTCTGTCATTTCTGACATCGTTCATATTTGGCTGTGTCGTCACGCACATCACGCTGCGTAAGTATTCTCCCAATGTTTGAAGACCCAAATGCACTGGGCATGATGTTCTTGTTATATTACCACAAACTACTTTAAAATGACTTGATTTTGGAATTCCCTGTGTCTCTTTCCAGGTTCTCAAGACGGTAAAAGTCTTATTCAAGCCATTCAAGAAAGCCCTGCCAGATATCCTTTTGCACATATCACATTTTCATCTAGTCCACCTGTTTATCTGATCCAGGCAACCAATATGGCATATTGGATATGCAACCCATATACTGCCAAGAAATAATTCACACTGTTGACGAGGCATTTCCCGCTGCTGCTCCTCAGCCTAAGCCCATTAATAGGATCAGAGGAGTTGGCATCCAGCAAAGCAGTGCTTTAAAGCACACGGCTCCAGTTGAAGGTCTGCTGCCTCATGCTCTCATGAGAGCATGATGAGAATATAGACGGTGTGACTGCAGACCGTTTTCATTGTTATCCTCATGGATGCACAATATGCAATACGCAAATAACAGTTGGGTTTCATAATACATTCGCAAAGTCCTTACCTACACGCACACAGAGCATTGTGATTGATTTTTAATAAACAGTTGTTTGTCTCAAATGACCATTGGGAATGGTGACATTATCTTGCCTTGACTCTTGTGATCGCACTGTGGTGGAGTTGGTGATTTGTTTCTTCTCCATCTGGTCCATTCTGGGCCTCTCAGGCTTCCATACCTACTTGGTAGCCTCCAACCTCACAACAAATGAAGATGTAAGTGCTCATGTCCCATTCCCTGATTACTACAATAGACTTCATTCAATAACTGATTTTGGCTTTCTTTATTCATTCACTGTGCAGATAAAGGGCTCTTGGTCAAGTAAACGGTGTACAGAGGAGTCGGGGAACCCGTACAGTTACAACAATATCATGACCAACTGCTGTGTGACGTTATGTGGGCCGATGCCTCCGAGGTGAGTGGAGAGGAGGCTTTGTACCACACGCACATTTCTCAGTGTCAGCGATGGCATCACGTACAGTCCATGTTAAAGTGCATCCTAACGTGCTCCTTTTGGTTTCTTCTCTCTAGTTTGATTGACAGAAGAGGTTTCCTTCCTCTTGTTGCGGCATCCCCTGCTACAGAGACGGAGCTGCCTCCTTTCCCGGTCAAGAACGACACAAACATGGTAGGATGAACCAGCCCGTGGTCCCTTCCCTGACCCCAACTGTCCCGTACGTCCTGTGATGCTGCAAGATTTCCTCCCCCAACCGCCCTGTGCCTTTCCTCTCTGTGTCCACGTCTCCACCCACCAGACTTCCAACTTGAGAGCCTCCTGTTTGAGTGGCCCACGTGCAGCCCTTTGAATCTGTGCCCACGTATGAAACCTGTGTGCAAAAAAACAAGCAAGCAGTGCATATTTTTTTACTTCTGAATAACTTGTTGGGTAGTAGTATCACAGGCCTAGATTAAGATGGATTATCCACACTAGAAACAATGACGTTGGCTAATTACTACTGAGGCCACTTGTAACTCTGTCTAGCATCACCAAGCAGTTAAAAACGCATAAAAGTGGTCAAAGTTTTTACAGGTAGAAGTGCAAGCATTTGTTGAAGTGGTCATTGAGCTGCTGAGTGAGTCTGCTGCACATAAACCGTGGTCCCTTTGTGCTGTGGAACGGAACACCTGTTCACTGTGACACCTTTTCAGCTTGGACTTTAAATTGAACACGTTGCTGCATATACCTCCGTGTTACATTACTACTGGGGTTGCTTGTATGTTGTGGTGCAAACAGAAGACTTGTTTACTGCCTTTTCAGGAGTTTTCAATCTTATTTTGTACTTGGTTTATCACTTTATTAGCACTTTATCACAGATCATTTGTGACATTTGTTATTTGATTTGGTCAGCAAGTGAAGTATATTTTTATCTGTATATTTTTCTTTATTTTCTTAACTCAATGTTTTACCTTTACATACAGCTACTTACCTAAAAAGTGTTCTTTTGTGTTAAATAAACTTTTATAATTGTTTCTTATATTTTGTTTTTTGACTTTTATGTTTTATTTTTTCAAATCTGTGTCTGACTGCAGGTGTTTAAAAGTTGCATTTTTACCATTTCAATAGGTATAAACATTTATGTATTCAGGAATATTTGTTCTGAATGTCTGTCACTCCATTGCGAGATGCACGATCTGACACCCGGGTGTTGTACTGTACCATCCCACCCTGCCAGGAGGAGACCTGTCAGGACTTTGCTTTGTCCTGCACAGCCTGAAGGGCGCTGCTGCATGTAGACGGTCGATGGTAAGAGTGTAGGAGAAGAGCTCAACGCTGCACCTCCTTCCCCAACCATTCACTGTCTTCTTCCACACCGTACCGTCGTACTTTACCAGTCATTTCCCTGCAAACACGTACATGTGCATGCTTCGCTTCCATCCATTCACTCCTGACATCTCTGTTGTTGGATGAGCGGTTTCTTTCTCATCTGTGTGTTGGGGTGCCAGAAGAAAACGGGAAAGAGCTCCTCCACGTGTCACACTGTCCTGTGTTGCATTGCTTGCCTCTAACTCCCTTCTGTGCCTCCATTCAAGTCTTTTGACAATCATCAGGTGCTCTCGTTCTCGACCAAATCATTTGACTCACTACGCCTTTCCGGATATGTCTGTGATGTTTTTTTTTGTTGTTTTTTTTTTTTACATTGCCCCTCACCCATTCATAACACAAACTGGCGATGTTTGCCCGCCCCCCCTTCCTGTCTCTTGACTTCTTTATTTGCTCCCCTCCACGCAGTGCACTAAGAGCACCAAGGACGTGCTGGAGAGGCTGGTTCGCTCGCTCGACTCCCGTGGCCGGTGCCCTCCCGGCGCTCCAAAGACGACCCCCGTGGCCGTAGAGATTTCCGCCGCGGCAACGCCTCCCGCCGAGCGCTCACCGCCCACCGGTTGCTCTCGACAACACGCCGGCCGGCACACGGCGGCGGCTCCTTGCCCCCCGTTCGCCAGAGGCCGCGAGAGGAGGGACTCTTTTCAGTCCAGCAACCCGGCCTTCCGCCTGGCTTCGCCCTCCCCGTCGCTGAGCCGCACCTTTATTCTGGGCGAGGCGCCTGACGTCGGCTTCATCCCGCCACCCTGACAGCGACCACACAGCGCTGCTCTGCCACCAATGCGGGTTTTTGGTTTTTGCATCATGGTGGTCATGCTGTGAGTTGCACCTGGGTTTCATTTTCCTTTTCCTTTTTTGTATCACCAATGTCGTACTAAACTATACGCGTCCTTCGCAGTGAAGGGAAATCTTAGTAATACTTTGAAGCACAATAGAGATATTTTTTAACCACCTTTTTATTAAGACACCCAGAACATGCCTCCACACCTTCCGCCACAGGGTTTGAGTTCTTGCAAATATTTTATGCAGACAGACGTTTCGAATTTACTGAACAGTGAGCCGTTTCAGGGTTATCAACTCCAATGTTGGCCTTACGACATATCCCATCATTTCTCGTCATTTTTACCTACATCACCTCAATATCATCCGGTGGAAGCAGCTTGACGGGGGTTTGCATTTTTTATTACATTAGTAAAGTTTGCATTTCCAGGTGTTGCTGTATTTTCTAGTCAGTTCTGCATGTTTATATCAGTGAAATGGTCAGTATTCTTTCTTTAGGGGTCTTATCATTGAAAGAGGCCATGTAAAAATGGGCAAAAGTGAGTGAATTGGTCCAGACATCTTTTCACGTGTGACTGATACTAGTTATCAAGTAGTTCCTTTTGATATTTAATCATTTCCATATTTGTGTCACTTGCATCAAAATGTGCTGCCGCCCACCAGGGCTTAGATTGCAGTATTTATGTCTGACACACCTTTTTCCTATTAATGTGCTTTACTGTGAGCTGTCTGTTTGTTTTCTCGCTGAGGTCTCGCCACATGCTGGTTTCCATAGCTGTGACCTCTTGGTCTCCTTTACTGTGTGAAACCGAACCCTCTGTGTTGGTGGACAACAGCACTAGCAGATAGCAGCAGATAGTTTGTGCCACCAGGGGGCAGCGTGCGAGTACAGATCCCCCAGTCAGAGGACAGTTGGAGGAAAGGCCTTTGGATGGGATATTTATTTTTGAGTGTTGACGCTGTACAAAGGTTGTGGGTTTGTGAAGAACAATGGGGTCATAGTTAGTTTAGTGGGTCGTTCATGTATCCGTCTGCTTCAAGGCCCGTAGGTTGATTGTACATTGTTTATTTTCAAGCAGTGCTTGTATGAACAAACTTGTTTTGTATTTTGTAGGATGTGACAGTGGATCTGTAACATGTGGTCAATAAAAAAAAAATAACGATTTTTTGTTAATTTCTGGCGTTTTTGTTCTGTTTTTTTATTTTTAGATTTTAAAATCTTCACTCAATAATAAAAAACTTAAAAATCCAGACTCCCCAATGGAGCTGCTTCTGTTGCGTTTTGCACAGACTGACTGATAGTATTACTATTGCGCAATGGGAACAGTTCAAACAGGCTATTTTATATTACTATATGAATGACCAGAGATGCACTATCACCAAATAAAAGTATTCCCCCCCCGGTTTATTAGGTATCTGTTATCATTTGACTTCAAAGCAGTCGTTGTCGAGGCAAGTCGTTATACCTTAATACGTTACGCCAACATTAAACCCAAAGTTCTGGCTCGGTCAGAGAGAATGAGCCGATTCACAGCAAATTTTCAAAGAAGGGAATTATAAAGTGGTCACATAAGTGGTCATTATAGAGACTCCTGGTCTAGTAGGACACTTTCACTTGGCCTGTTCCTTTTTTTATTGAACAGCTGAGGAAGCCACGCTTTTCACTCCCAACTAATAAATTCCTGTTCTTCAAATAAATAATCCGCTGCCCGTTTACCCCCGGTTGACCTCTGCTCTGTGAGTCATGGCGCTCGTTCTTCTTTGGGCCCTGCTGCCCTGTAACCACGCAGCCGTGTGTCACTCTCTCACAAGTCTTTTCCTCATTGTTGGCTCGCCTCACCAGAGCAGAAGTGAAGCACCTCTGTGAAAAAACAAGCTGCTGACTCACAGTCATGGCTGACTCGAAGTCAACATCCCTCGCCGCCGCCAGTTAAAGAGCAGAAAGCGTGTCTCCGTGCCAGGCGGTGAAGCTCCATCAGATCGACCCCACTCCCCCCCGGGGCCGAGTGCAGCCAACCAGCTGCCGCCAGGCGCAGTTTGTTGCCGGTGAAAGATGAAACTAGCGGATCCGGTGGGGATCTTCCACGAGGTGGTCAAAATGTCTCCATGCTGGACGTTGAAGCCAACAGGCGTTGATCCGTGTGCACGTTTGCACTCATGCAAACCAGCCGACACTCAACACGATAAAGAATGTCTACGTTGAATATCGTGGGCGACGTGAACACGCCTGTTTGTAGAGTTTGCTCGGGGGAATTAAGAATGTTTGTTTATTGCCTTTCCAGGGACGCCACTGTGTGTAACAAGGGAGGTTTTTGGTAGCATATGTGTGAAGACCTAAAAGTCCTTGGGAGCCTTTTAGCACATATAGATCACGCTGGTCTGATGGTACAGCTTATCAAAGGTTGTGGCCGACCATTGCTGTTGTTAAAGATCTTTATGTGTAAGTCTTGATTATGTAGAGCTCCTGAATTATCCCCCCCCAACAAAAAAATATTCCCACCATTCCAAGATACCACATTTGCGACATTATGTAGTGTGCAGATTAGATCAGCGGATCAGTCAGGCGATGTGAGATTTCTCCGGGTCTTGCAGTGGAAAAACGCCGGCTGTTGCCGCTGGAGTGAAAAGAGCTCCACCTGGAAACCCGAATATGTGCCATGGAGCCGAACTAGAGTGCCAGGGTAGCAGGCAGGCTCAGACACTATCTCAGCACCCATTAGCATGCAGGCTATTGGATAAGGCCTCAATAATGACAGAGAAATGTCTTGACTTCTGCTACACAAACGCAAGTTGATCAGCATGGTCAGAATTCTCTGAAACATGAACCATGTCGACTTCAACCAGTGAGCGTCTGTCTCTCAGTCACATCATAATATCTTCGCGTAGCTCAGGAATCACGGTAAGCATGTTTTGATAAAGTAAATGTGTGTGTAGGTGAATTGAATGGAAAAATGAGAAAACAATAATAGTCAAAATAAGTACAGCTTTAAACAGCTTTTTGTCAAATCAATTATCGGTTATGTTGGTTAATTTGCAGATGGTGATGTAAAAAACGTAATAATAATAATACAAAATTGTTGTTTATGGCAAATTAAATCGCCCCAAATAAAAATTGTACAATTTAAATTTGAGCTTAACTGCAGCTTGGACAGGCGTTATTTTTTTGTTGCATTCTTTCTAGTGTCTATTTTTACACCATACTAAGGCTACTGTTTAATACTTGACTAAAATTGCCACTTGTATATCAATTACTAACAACATACAAGAAAATATGTTTTTCTTCAACAATTGAAAGCAACACGCAGTGAGTAAGTAATTCATTTACAAATAGTCATTTTGTAGGTTAAATATTCCAGTAGGTAAAAATATCAGACTACGTAAGACTTTCATTTCATTACTGTGTGCATACACACATTTATGTGCAGGGTTTTGCAGTGACGTGCAGGCCACAAGAAACATCATGTCGGACTTTGCCGTGGACCGGGTTTAAGAATCAGCTGCAATAAAGTGAGATGGTAAAAGCGCTGTTAGATTACGTTGTTGAGTCACTGTATGGACATGACCAAACTTATTCCCTGCTCGGTTAATTCACGGCAAAGGCCACACTGCTGTTTCACGAGGAAGGAACAGGTCAAATACTAATGTTGCTTGTGTTATTGTTAAGAGCAGCGAGGTAAATGTGAGAAAGGCAGCAAATAAAGTGCTTTACAGTAAAACACAGGATATTGAAAAGTGCAGTAAAATGTCTGAGACTGCGGGCTGGATGTCGAGAGGCTCCTGTTGCTGCCAATAGTTCTACCGTATGCAACTCGGAGGGGCTTTGGACCATGTGTGCAGCATCCCTGTGCCTGTTCCCAGTTACAACATGAATGTCATCCTAAAACCTTGTGTGAACCTGTCAAAACAAGCCATATTCAACAGCTTCCCCTTTTAAATAAACAGTCCCAAACTCCTGCCGTGAATTTAGAACCGTCTGATCATCCATAAATTGATTTAATTAGTGCGGTGCGTGCGTTTATTTGATATCACGGTTTTTGTTGCTCTTGGAACCTCCAGCTGGCTCCCTCTGGCCCAGCGCTCGATGGGATACACAGATGGCCGATAATGCTTCCAGGAGCAAGATTAAAAACATCTGACGATCTGAGAGGACGTCCCGCTAATCTATTTTCAGAGCATGTATGATTGTGACCTTAGCAGCTATTGTCTCGGGGGGGAGGGAGGGGCGGGGGGGTCTTTGTCTTGCGTTTGTGCTTCACCCCAAAGGTGTCCAGTAAATCAACATAATCGCTTCCCAATGTGTTAAACTCTTTACAGCCCCTCAGTTTGACTTATTCTTACAGCTACTGGATGGGGGGTTATGAACAGGATTTCTGGGAATGAAATCAGAGCTTGCTGCTAAATAGGGGTTCCCTCTTACTGCTGGTGAAGAGCCAGTTCTCTTCTCTAGTTCATTTTCATATGCATGTGTTGAGAAAATTACACAACAGAAGTTTTATGATCACATTTTGTGTACTTCTCTTGTGTATGTAGCTGTCAACTTGTTCCCATGTCCCTGTAGTGCAGTTGATATGACTTCATCAGGGGAGAATCTCACCAGGTTGAGAACCATTCATCTACCAACGGCAAAGCTGAGAAGCCAATCCAACCAGTGCGTATTTCTTTTATGTCAAGTGTTTGACACTGTAGGATGCAACCGAGACCTTAAATGGAGGGCAGTTGCACAACATGATTTAGGCTCCGGGGGAAGGACGCCCCAGTCTAAGTAAGGACGTCCCCGACATACAGATGGAGGTGAGGGTGTTTTATTACCAGGGACATGCCTCCCTTCCACACATGCTCTTATACAAGCCAGAAGCAGAAGGAAACGTATGCATGACTCACCGCATTTCTCTGTTATCTCACACTTCATTCATTGTGGAAATTTTACTTGCTGAGTTAATTTCTTTCCTTTCCTATTTGTGCGCTTTTGTGTAGATCCATGTTTCTAAATAACAACTGCCATCCGATTCACATTACTTCACCTTCAACAATGTTTTGACTTGTCACACAACCTCTGAGTAAAGTGAGCCGAGCCTTTCGTAACACCCAAAGCCTAAGACTATATTTGACCGTTGAGCTTTGGATTGCTTCAACTGCAATAACCTGTCGTTTGCAAAGAGACAGTCAAAGCTGTGACATACCTCTGGACCTGCAGAAGGAAATGGTAGAAAATATTGTCACAGCTCTCAGATGAGAAAACGAAACTTATCCTAGAACATGAAACCATCTCCAAAATGACTCACTGGATCTTAAAAGGTCTAGGTAACAACAGTGCAACATAAGAAATGGTTTGATTTTAGAGCAACATTAGCAGCAAAAGAACAAAACAGATCAACATCAATTTGTAATGTGCTTTTTCTCAACTGAGTATTTTTCCATTTTAGTGCGCGACTGTGGACAGAAGAGACGAAGTGGGAGCTGATGTTTGATGCCACTCGAATCATTAGTGCATTTTGGTGTGTTTTTTTTCCAGCAGCACACCGGTCTCCTCTGCCAAACACTACTGTAATCAATCAAGCGGGCAGCGGAGAGAGTCTGACGTCAGAAGCGCGGCTGCTTGCGTAACCTCGCTCAACTGTCCCACATATATTTGTCGTCCAAAGCAATCGAGGGAAGTAAACTCAACCTCTCTTATCAGTCACTCTGTCCACCTCAGGTTTAGGCCCCGTCGTGGGGGTCCAGCCTGACTGGTCAGCTCAACCCGGCTGAATATACACAGGTTATCTGCAGCCATTGTAGAATCAGCGTAATAGAATTTCACTTTTTATCTATTGACAAAGTCAAAGGAGATTTGAAACAAATGAACATGCAGTGTAATGTCGGCCATGCTTTGTATCAGCAGTGGATGCATCACAATTTTAGCTAAAGCAAAACTGTCCACAGTCACCGATGAGGCACACTCTAATAATAGCAAAGAATTGTCTTCTAGTGTAACATGTCCTCAGTGAGTCTTCTCGGGGGAAGTAATTCATTTATGTTGTAGTAGACCCTGTCTGACAGACTAGAGTTTCATAACTTATCCTGCGCGACAGGTGGAGCATTATCTGTCTTTGCCTGATACGTCATTGTGACACTCGACTGCTTGTTGTTTGGCATCATGGATTTTCTGCCAGGCTTTCACAACGCGCCGTGACG